CAGAAGATGGGGAAGGATGGTCTGTGTGATCCCAAGCCCTCTCCTGCCATTGAGAGGCACCAGCCCTGCAGGGATTTGGGAAATCTCCAATACCCTGTGCTGGATGTCTCCCCAGGTCTTAACACATCCCCTTCTTTGCTGGTAAGAGCTCCATGAAAACACCATGAAACTCATCTGCTGAGCTGAAGGAGATGGAGCTCATTCCCTGGGACTGAGGCCATGAGGGTCATTCCATGGGGAATTGAGCTGGGGAACAGCACTGAGCCCAGCTGCACTGCCTGGAGCCGTGTGGATCCAGGAGGGAGGAGGAAAGCCATACTCCAATGTGCTCCCTGCAGAGCATCCCCCAAAAATCACCCAAGGCAATGCTTCTGCTCCCATTTCCTGCAGGAATAGATCACCATGGGGAGGGTGATCCCATGGATATTGCCTAATCAGGAGGCTCCGAGAAACCTTCAGCCACTCTCCTCGGGTCCTTTAGAAGAGCAGTGTGAGGGATCAGCAAGATCAGACCCCCGTGTTCCTGGGGCATCATTCCTATGGGTAGTTTATTTTTTCTGGTCTTCAAAGACCGTCTGGAGGGAGAGCCGGAGGGACCCCAGAGAGCAGGGCCTCCAGCACCTCCCCACCAAGAAGTAGATGAAGGGTTTGAAGCTGCTGTTGATGCAGTTAAGCAGGAAAACCATCTGGGAGGGTACAAGGATATAACCGAGCTGCTGTAGGAAATTCCAGAAAATGAGGAGGAGAGTGAGGAGCACAATGAGGGTGATAGCGATGTCGCGCCTCTTGGGTTGCTGCTGCTGGGAGCCCCACTTGGCCTTAATGAAATCTATTGTGATGGAAACGAGCAGGGGTGAAGCCAAGAGGAGCAGGATGATGGTGTTCATGGAGATAAAAGCTGCCCGGCAGAGCTCCTGCTGGTGTGACGGGCACAGGGATGTCACCGCAGGAATGACAGTGAAGAGAGCAAAGAAGGCCCAGAATTGGACACCGTTCAGCAACCACATCAGGCGCAGAGGAAGTTTGCAGCGGCAGCAGAGCTGGAAGAGGTTATCCATATACACCACAGGGTTGTTGGGCATCAGCCAGTACAGCCCCCAGTAGTAAGAGACATCAGACAGCTTGAAAAGAAAATTCAGGTGCAGCAGGGGCAAAACAGGAGAGCAGGACATGTCCTCCACCACGGAGAGCAGGGTGGAGGGCACTGTGAGGAGAAGGAAGAGGAAGTCAACGACAGTCACGGTGAAGATGCGATAATTACAATTTTCCAGTTGGAGGAGGCAGAGGACAGCCCCGTTCCCGGCCAGCCCACAGAGGCAGATGAGCAGTGTCACACTGTGTATGGCCACACTGGGGACATCTGCCTCACACAGATCATCTCCATCAGTGGGTGAGATGGCAGGCAGGGACATGGTGGTCACCTCCATGGATGGACG